TTTGTTATTTTATTCCCTAAAGTTTATTACAATTAAATTCCATTCTTTTCTGCTCAGTCATGACGTGGTTACAGGAATGTAGGTTTGGAAAAAAGGCCTGTTTTGAGGCAGGCTGTGAGAAGATGTGAGAGAAATTCATGCCCTGTGAAACCAGGTGTGTTCTGAAAGTGAGGGTCCTGATTTGGGGTGAAATCTCAGCAAAGAGGGGCAGATCAGCAAGGGAAGTGAAAAATGTTTCTCTCAATAAAGGGGAGGCTGAAGATGCTCAGATCCTTTGGATCAGTTGTATCCAGGGCAGTTGGTGGCCTCTGTTTAAGTTAAATCGTGGAATCCCAGACTGGTTTGGGTGGGAAGGGACCTTAAAGCCAACCTGTGCCAACTTTCCAGTAACTGTTGCTTTTTCCAGTTCCATCTCCCAGGGGTTTGGTCTCCTCCCATGTTTGGTTATGGAATTAATCAAGTTTGTAGGTGCAGAATTGTTTGTTGCCAGGCTGAGTTGGGGTCTGTGTCTGGCCAATCCTTTTTCTCAGCTCTGCAAAGAGGGCTCGTGGCTGTCCCTGGGATTGTTTTTATTTCATCCTGCCCTTTCCCTGGCACTGGGGATGATATTTTTTAAAATCTTAAATATCCCCTTAGTCTGAAATATGTTTTTTCACTTAGCAACTGTCCAAACTGCTGGACTGAAACAACTTTTTTTCTTCTTAGCACCAGTTTCATTTCAGGCTTCAACTCTGACTCTGCTGCTGCCTCAGTTTGTTTTCACTCTCCTTATATTTAACAATAAATAAACCCCCCCATATTATCTATATTTAACTCCCTCAACTACATGCATTTTAGAATTGCAGACTAATAACGACCTGACATGTTTTATAGATGTACCATATTCCCATTAAATATATATATAGTATTAATAATTTATCTGCCCTGAACAACTGCAATTGATACTTGAAATTATTTTACCTTTCCAATAACTTGGACGTGATTTTTTTTTTTTTTTTTTCCTGCTGGTGAAGTTGAGTTAAACAAGAAACTTTGTCTTAATGTGCTTTGAAAGAGAACATGGCATTTTTCCTGCAGTTCCTCGTGTGTTTGCACTCTGTCTTTATTACCAAGGTGATTGTCCAGGGTGGATGCAGAGCAGCTGTGTCTCGTTCTTGCGGCCCAGACTTTGGATTTATGGCTCAGGTATTAATTTGTTGGGTTTGTTGGTGGCTATTGAGCCAATAATAATCTAATTAGAATTGTGGCAGGTGAGAGACACGTAGAAGAATTCCAGGGGAGGACTTGACGTGTTGGGACTGTTCATTGGAGTGGGGGTTGCTGTTCACCAACAAAACAGATTGTTTTTCCGTAAATTGTCCTTCAGTGGAAGAGCTCAAAGAGAAGGAAACAAGCACTGTCTTGGTTTTGGGCTCCAACTCCTCTTTCCTTTCCAAAATCCTCTCAGTGACTCTTTTCCAATTGCAGGGTTTTGCACGGATTAGATTGGCCCTCTCAGATACAGTTCAGAGCTTTAGTGCCCCATAATTGGGGAAATACTAAACGCCACTGACCTCATTTCCTTCAGAACAATGAAAATTAATAGTTGCACGTTTTATTAGGCTGATATTCCAGATGTAGTGTACATTTAATTAAGTGTAGTTTCCTTTTGCTTGTGGTATGTGTCTCTGCTTTCTGTCGCAAATTCTTTCTAGTTTTACAGTTTTCCACATGTTTTCTTTCACCATTTATGATTTTTTTCAAAGCAGAGCTGGGAGGATTTAAATCACTTTAGCGTGCAGCAAAACAGTTCCCATTCAAACAATAAACGCCATTTTAAAAAGCCTTTAGATCTCCTGGCACTTCATAAATATAAATGTATAAAAACATTATGCAGTTGTAGTGCCCACCTGCTAATTAAATGCAGATTTCCTCAAACTTGTTTTAAAATCCGCTTATTTGTTTCAACTCGGGCTCGGCTCAGGGTACATATGGCCCTTGTGAAACTAATTATGCTTACGGAGCAGCTGGGAAATTTTAGTGCAACTAATTTTATCCAATATTTTACATTTTAATTGATTACCTGTGAAGAAATTAGCAAATTAACACTTATTGTGCAGTAACCGAACGGGCTTTTTTATGGAGACTTTTTGGGCTTTTACAAGTGCTGATGGAATAAAGCCCTTCCTTCGGGGCTGGAAATGGGGAAGGGGGTCGGTGGGGCCTCGATTATCTGGGGTGAGAATTTTTGGGGATCCCGAGCGATGCCAAGCATCTGCGTGTTCTGCAGGTTGGACATGAAAAGCAGGCTGGAAAGGAATGGCTTTTCACAGAATTTTGGGAACATATGGGCTTATCTGGATCTAAGAGCTCTTTGAAGATCTTTGAACTTGACTAAATGACTTAACCTTTGGCTTGGTGGGTGGGTGTTGGTGGGTGTCACTTTGGGGGAAAGGGGGGGGGGGTGTCCCTGCTGCAAATTTACTCTCCAGCTTCATTTTTCTTCTTTTTCTCCAGTAGTTCTATAATTTGAACGTTTTGGGACTTGCTGTAATAGGACTAATCGTGATTCTTGTTATTTTTCAACAGTAATAAAATAGGAAATCTTTCTTCTCTGTCAGATCTGTGGACTTTTGTTCTTGTTTAGTGATGAATTAGTGACACAGATGACTCTTTGTAGCTCCATTTGATCGAGTTTTATCTTTATTTCCTGTCCTGTAGATCTGGCAAGATACTTTAATAGGAATTAAAGGGGGCTTAGAGAAGGGGGGAGAGGGATTTCACAAGGGCACGGAGGGACAGGACAAGGGGAGGATGGGCTGGAGCTGAAGGAGAGGAGGGTTTGATGGGATACTGGGAAGGAATTCCTGGCTGGGAGGGTGGGCAGGCCCTGGCACAGGGTGCCCAGAGAAGCTGTGGCTGCCCCTGGATCCCTGGAAGTGTCCAAGGCCAGGCTGGAAAGAACCTTAAAGCCCATCCAGTGCCACCCCTGCCATGGGTAGGGACACCTTCCACTGTCCCAGGTTGCTCCAAGCCCTGTCCAGCCTGGCCTTGGACACTCCCAGGGCAAAGAACTTTGTACAATGATGGAAACCCCCTGAAAATTCAGCTCTGGGGGAGCCTGTGGAGCAGAACTCCCCATTTTTGAGCAGATCCTCACTCATGTCTCATTGACAGTCACGTGCCTTCCTCCCCCCTGTCCCTGGGATGGGGAACACAAACTCTGTCTGGGGTTTCCTCTAAGTGTAAAACCCAAAGGGTAAACAGAGATTTGGGCTCTGGGATAATGAACCTTATGATGTGAAGGGTTGCCCATGAAACAGCAGTGGCAGCTTCTGGAAAGAAAACTGTTCATCAGTTTGTCAGCGCTCCTCTAAGGACATCACCACAAATTCGATGCAATAACTACTTTTAATGCTGAGAATTTCCCTAACAATAATTATTTTAGCTTCCTCAGTTCTTCCTGCTTGAATGGGAACGGTGAATTTGGGGCAGTGCTCTGTACATCTGTGCTGCCTCACCACGACGAAGCACCGTCTTTGTGCCAACCAAAAATCAGATTTAACATCCAGAATAATTTCTTAAGGTCAAAAATTCCTCCACCTGAGGGGCTGAGGAGGAGTGGATAAATTTGCGATGGCATCCTTAAAAAAACCCCATTTTGGGACGGAAAATGTTTTCTCTGGTTTAATAACACACCATTCAGTGGTAATTTGATCTGCTGGCCGAGTGTTAATGGTGGGACCAATAATTGGGGATGTGGTGCTGCAAGGTGGCAGCTGCTGAGGGAAACCTGAGCCCAGGCTTGACCTCTGGGCCCGGGGCTGGAAAGCTCCTGGCAGGAATAGGGACATTAACCCCCATGTGCTGGACAAATTCCAGGCTCAGGAACAACGTTCTACCCCAGTGTAATTTATGGCTTCATCTGGAGGGAGGGTTTGCTTTTGCTCAGCCTGTTGTTGAGTTTTATTAAGCAGTTGTTGCTTTTGAACCGGAGTGATTCTTGTGTGTGATTTGGCTTTTAAAGGCCTGGGGAGTTTTGCATTCCAAGAGGTGCTAAAGACTTTTTTTTTTTTTTTTTTTTTACACTGTTTTAAAAATTGTCCTTCCCCCCCATCCTCTCGTTTGTCCATGAGGTGCCATCAGAACTTGTGTAGAACTGTGGAATCCCAGCATGGTTTGGGTTGGAAGGACCTTAAAACCCATCCAGTCCCACCCCCTGCCATGGGCAGGGACACCTTCCATTGACCAGGTCATTCAGATGTTCACTGGAATAAAAACTAACACAAACTCAACTTTCTGTTTTCCCAAATCCTCCTCTTCTACTCCTGCAGGATGGAAAAGGAGTATTGATCCGTGATAAATTATTCAATCAAATGGAGAAACTCTTCCAAAAGGAATTCAGGAGTAATGAAGAGGGTTCTTTGGATACATCTAGAAACAACCCTAATACTTCTTGATCTTTTTTTTTTCAATGATGTTTATCAGGAGTAACATAAACTTATCCCAGAGGAATGGATAACGAACATGGTTGAGAATGGAGTGTCCTGTGTCCACGCAGGAACTCAGCTGAGTAACCAAAGTTACAAGGATTAGTAACCAAATCCCTGCCCCTGAGGGCAGTTTCTTGCATTATTGGGCCTCCAGAGTTGGGATATTTATATTTTCTAAGTTGACCAAGTCCAGCCATCAGGAGGTTGGTTTGGACACATCACTTCAGGTTTTTCTGGGTCCTGTTGGAACAAAACAGTGATAATAGATTTAATATGTAAATGCACGGCAGCAGCTGTAAATTCTTTATTTTCCAAGCTGAATTGATCAGAATTTAAGATTTTAAAGTCGAATGTTCAAGGAAAAATTTCCTTCGTTTTCTTCCCTAATAGCTCCAAGATTAATTTGCTGATGGATGAATCCTACACAGCATGGTTTAAGTTATTTTATGTATTTCTATATATAATATGCATATAATATATAGAAGGTAGATAATATAGATAATAGATAATATAAAATATTTGCTGCAGGTCCAGGTCCAGGGGTCCCCAGCGCTCCTACAGCCGCAGCAGCGAGAGGTCCGGCCACAGGAGGACCCGCAGCGGCTCCAGGGACAGGGAGCGGCGCAAGGGCAGGGACAAGGACAAGGACAAAGCCAAGGACAAGGGCAAAGGGAAGGACAAGGACCCTTCTGGCCCCAAGGCTGGGTAAGTGAAGCGACGAGTGATGGAACGGTAACAAAAACCAGGCAGTGGTTTATTGTCCCTTCGCTGCTGGAATCATTCTCCTTTGCAGGATGGGGTTTTTTAATAGACTAAGTGGAAATTCTTCAAAGTGTTTGAAAGGGGGGGGGATACTTAGGATTTTAAAATGATGGAATGTGACAATATTTCCCACTAAAGGGTGATTTAATTTACAATTCTTTCCCCACCGTGTGAGGGTGGGCAGGCCCTGGCACAGGTTGCCAAGAGAAGCTGTGGCTTCCCCAGCCCTGGGAGTGTCCAAGGCCAGGTTGGAGCAGCCTGGGATGGTGGAAGGTGTCCCTGCCCATGGCAGGGGGTGGAACTGGATGATCCTTAAGGTCCTTTCAATCCAAAGCAGTCTGGGATTTGGTGTGTGGGAGGTTTTCTGGGCTCTGTAGAAGCTCATCTCAAATCCCACAGGAGTAACAGCAGTGCTGCCTGAGGATCCTGCTGGGCTGTAGGTCCTTTTTATATCAAGGATCAATAGCAAGGAGCTGTAGGAGGAACACAATGCCCAGATAATATTTTTTTTTTAGGCAAGCAATTAATCTTTCTGTTTTGATAACTTACAGAATTGCTTCTGCTAAATTTGAAAACCAAATGCCTGGTGTGGGTCATTCCCAGGGGAGTTGGGACAAAGGGTACAAATTGATGTAGAAACACTCTGTGCCCTCAGTCCTTTCCCTCTGAGCTCAGGGCCTGACTTTGGACAAGGATTTCTGCCTTGGAGCACGATCAGACTGCAGAGTGAACCTTACCTGGGTGGTGCTGATACAATCTGGGCTTCGTAAACTTTTCTGAGGAGGCACAACATGTTTCCCAGTTCAATCAGAGAATGATCAAAGTGTGTCTGTGCCCAGAATATGGATCTGAGCAGCTTTGCCCCTTTGTTTGTTATGTGTGTTTTGGAAGATTGAGGCTTTGTCAGCACCACTTCAGTCTTTGGGAAAGGCTTTGCAAAGCCACAGATTTGGTTGCTATTTGAAATTTGTCTATGGAGTATTCTGTTGTTGACCCCAGTGAGAGAGAATCAACTCTAGGAACAAAGAGAGTTTCTCTTTGCCTGGTTTGTGCTCCAGGAAAATGAGGCCAGGTAAGATGTTTTCCAGTTGTGTTTTTGTCAGAGGCTTCCTCAGGCCTCCCAAGCTCTCCTTGTTCTTCCCCTGCATCATTTATTTTATGTATTTATTTTCTTTTTGGGTGAAAAGTGTGGAAAAGAAAAGATCTCCTTGGCCAGGTAAACTCACCTGTCCTTGGGTTATGGGTATAGAGGGAGGAGGGTGGTGGAACACAAACTGAGGGGACTTCTTGCCTGTGTAAGTCTGTTGGCTCCTGGAACTTTCCCTTTGTCCCCAGGGTTGAGTTGGACCCTGTTTGAAGAGGAAAAAACAAGTATTTTATTTTTCCTCCTGGCCTATTCTGCTGTGACCAACACAGGGATGGTGCTGGTTTTCCAAATTGTCATTCCCGGGTTTTTTTCTGCCCTGAAATCCGAGGAAGAAAATCTAGAGATACAAAATTCCTGTCAGGTGCAGGTTTGGATGTGAAATACTGGGAGGAATCAGTTGGAGATGGCTGTCCATGTGAATGAATTTCTAGGTCCAGGGTCTAAATCACCAGTGAAAGTGTCATCACTCTGCAGAGCCCTTCCAGAACCTCCAACATCAGGAATCTGCAGAGGAAACAATCCTCTGACCTCCGTGTCTGGAGTAGATCCTTCCTCAAAGGCACATCAAGGACCAGGTCTAGTTTTCAGTTTAAATTTATAGCTGTTTGGAATGTATTTATTCAAAATAGCCACTTTAAAGCCATAATGAAGATCATCCCAGAGCCAGATTGTGAGAAGATGGAACATAAATTCTCAGGTGCTGCTTGACTTTATAGTTTAACTTTGCATAAAAGAAGGTATTTCAGTTTGGCAGCACTGCAGGTTATCTGAGAGTTGTTGTATATTTGGGACTTTACTGTCCCTCCTGAAGTAGAGAATCAGACTGCAGTCTTTTAATTAAGGAGCAAATGGTTTTATTTGTTCCCATGATAGTCTTTTCTGTGCTTGGCTTGGTGTGTGTTGGTAGATGTGAGGGGGAAAGGCTTGTGTTTGGTTTTTAATTTGGGCTGGCTTTAGGTTCTTTCAAGGTAGATCTTGCCTTCCCAGGAAACATCCCCAGAGAGATTTGAAGACTAAAAAAGGAGAATTACTTTACAAAAAAAAAAAAAAAAGGTGTCCTGGTTGTTGTCCTTTGGCATTCTCTGTTTCAGGGATGATTCTTTACCCACAAGCACTGAACTTCTGGTCTGGTGGAGATGTTTCAGCAGTTCTGTGGAGATGGGCTGTGTCACTGCTCTCCTCTCCCAGCCTGAAGTGGTTGAAGGGATGTGCAGCCCTTATGGAGGGAGGTGGTTGGGGAGCTCATTGGCAGCATCTGACAGTCCCTGGGCAACAAAGCTGGTGTGAAGAGCAGCCTGTCAGGCTTTGAGAGAGAGCTTTGTGCCCACTTAAAATCTAAAGCAGCACAACCTGGGAAAGGAGCCTGAACACAGAATTGATCCACCTTTCAGATGATCAGGCTTATTTCATTTCCAGGGAAGGCTCTTTGCCCAGGAAAGCTGCTGACAAGCAGGTAGCAAGAAATGTTCTCAACAAGTTCCCACTCAGCTCCTGCAGTGCTGCTTTTTTTTTTTTTCCTTCCACTTTGCAAGTCATCCCAACTGTGACCAGTTTGCTTTGGTTTCCTCTCATCCTGGATGTTCAGCCCCTGTTCCCCCTCTTGGTGTGTGCTCTGTGTTGCAGTGCCTGGCAGAGAGAGCTTTATCACCTGCCAGGCTCTAAAGAAAGGATCGATATGTGATGTGGGCTCTTTCCTCAACGACTGCTGTCAGCATGTCTGAAGTGAAAGCACTCCTTGGCCTCTCAGCCTTTCCTGTTCCCCCAGTCCCCCAGCCAGGTTTGAAATGCTCTCTCTGTGCCCGTGATATCAGTGTTGGTCTCTGGTGGTGCCCCGTGGCTGCAGGAGGATGCTGTGCCTGTCATTGCTCTGGGCCACTGTTGTACACCACATTTTGTGAGTGGTGCCCCTGGCACACACACAGGGGGGACTTTCCTCTTCTCAGGCAAGTTTAACAAGTTAATCAGGTTGTTACCACACCTCTGTAATTTTTACAGGGCTCTTTGTACTGACTGATACGTGTTATAAATGGAGTTGATAAATTAAGGACCAATACTCATTTTGTGATGGATCATCATTGTCTCTGCAAAACTTTCTGATGCATAATCGACATCTGGTGTCTGATTTTTGCCAATAACTTTTAGTCTAGTGATTTGGGTTTTTTTTATTCAATTTTTGCTTGAAGGACCCAAAACTTTACTGGTCGTTGTTCTGCCACAATAGTTGATCTGTCCTTACATTTGGCTATCCCTGTCCCTGTTTTTCTTCTCTTGGCTTTGTTTTAATTCCCCTTGCAAAAATGAGTCTTTTGCAAGAGGAGGAACTCTGGGCTGAAGCAAAAACATGGGTGGCACTGATCAGGAAAGGTCACTGAATGAAAGGGGAAGAGCTTTGTCTCTGTATTCAAGGAATGGCACAGGTTGGGATGAATTTCCCTCATCCAGAAGGGAGTAGTAATTCTCATGTTAGACTTCTGCTGTGGGATTTTGATTGATTATGGGAAAACAAGTCATGGTCTTCCTGGACTTATGAACTTCTGACTTAAAAAACCCACTAAAAACTTGTCTATTGGTTGGCAAAGCTGAATGTGCTGTTTGTGTGAGCCATAGAAATCTGGTGTTTAAAGTCTGGATTAGCTTAAAACCAGGCAAGTTCTGAGACACTTTTCATAAGGCTCCTTGTTCGTGGTTGGATTGGGAGAAAAAGCTGCTAAAAGCTTGCTGGCTTTACATAATTTTGCTGGATTTATGGGTTTCATCGTTGCTTCTGCAGTAGTGGAATTTTGGATTACTGGTTCAAGTGATTTTGACAATTTTTAATGGAATAAATTAAGAGCAGCTTCTCAGCTGTTATGAGGAAAGAAGTGGTGACCCATTAATCAAACCTGACCAGTTTAATTTGTGGTACTTGGCGAGGTTATTGATACATTTGGGCATTAACTGGTTCACAGCTTCTGAAATCCTTGGACATGTCACAGAATCCCAGAAGGGTTTGGGTTGGAAGGGAATTTAAAGGTTATCTTGTCCCACCCCCTGCCCTGGGCAGGGACACCTTCCACCAGCCCAGGTTGCTCCAGCCTGGCCTGGGACACTGGATGAGCTTCAAGGTCCTCTCCAACCCCAACCATTCCATGATATTGGCAGTTGCTGGCTCTGGGGTGTTGTGGGCACTCAATCTCAGGTGTTTCAGCTGCTTTTGGAGACTGAGAATAACTTTATTGTTTCCAAATGTGTGAAATGAGTGCATTTTCTTACAGAGTTTGGTTACTAGAAAATAGTTCCCATGTGCAAGGAATGGCAACTGCTGTTGGTTAATGTGGTGAACAGGCTTGTAATAAAAGCTTTCTGTACAAAAAGAGGACTTAAAATTCGATTATTCTGTAGCTCTATTTTATCTTTTATGGAAAGAGTCTCTTTTGTCACCTGCCTCCTGCCATGGCCCTAAGAAAGGGTTTTGCCAGCAGGGAAAAATGAGAGGTGGGTCTGCCTTTGGTTCTGTTATTTCTGCCTGCTTTTTAGCCTGAATAGCATTGAGGATACTGCACACAATTTTCCTCAAGCTCCCTGAATCAAGAGTTGGAGCCAGGGTGGTTTAAGGTTGTATGAGAAGCAGGGTTGGGTGGGAAAAGGGAATATCTTTCTTCCAGACCATCTGGTGTCCAGCCACTTCCTCTGACTCCCTGCAGGCTTTGGAGCATCTTTAAGATGTGTTGTCATGGCAGAGGAGTTACTTACCCAGACCAAAAGCAAACTGCCTCTTGTATTTATTTATTTATTCAGTCAGTCAGTCATTCTCACT